CCCCAAAACCCCAAAACCCCAAAACCCCTATAACTTCCAAATATATAGAATTAATAAAATTAAAAGCCGATTAATTATTGTAAGAGAAATGGATATATACCCATAACTTATCAGACAAGCTTGGTTTTTTATTTTAACATATAAAATTGCCTTGAGAATATCAAAAGCTTATTTCTAATATACTTATTACTTATTAGCTCTTCTTAGTTCCTATTTTTGTAGACTGTTCTTTCTTTTTGATTTAATAAAACTGTAATTTTTAAAACACCGATCACCAAGAAAAATGTATAACCTTTAACACAAAATTCGAGTGAAGGATTTATAAAGTAGCAAATAAATTTAGAGAACTTCTGAAAATAAAAGGGCTGCATTTTCTGAAGCGTCTGCTTGCTAACATGTTATAGATAATGATGCTTATAAGGACAATGATTAATACCGTCTTTTGAGTTATGGCTTTCATAAAGCCCTGATGGAGTCAACAAGTGCTAACTTACAAATTTGACAATCTGGAGTAAGTTAAAATCCAATGATCAGTCATTCTCTTAACTCTTTTTATTAACAATACTTAGTTTTTAACTCAAATCTTATTTTTAGAGTTGTCTTGCTTAGAACCTTAAGTAAGAGTTAAGCTAAGGAGTTCACTAACTCTTATCAGTTTTATTATAATTGTGAGTGAGTTTGATCTAATTTTTATCACCAGTCGAGAATAGTATTTTGAAGAAAAAAATATTTTATTAATAGTAACCAATCAATTTTGGGTGACTAAGAACGGAGATTTTAAATTACAGGTTAATACTTTTGCTGAAATAAAATTTTAATCTTTGTCTATTGATTACTTCCTGATTAAATCTTAACCTTATTACCCATTTTTAGTGCTACAACTCTGGATGTGCAGAATGAAGAGGGAGATAGCGGAGCTCCAATTTTTAATTTTCCAAGTAACTTTAGTTCTAAAAATAGCTACAACAAGCCAGCAGCCAATCAAAGCTGCTCAAGGAATAATAATAGAAAATACAAAGTAATTTACAGTATAAAATCAGACATCTTGCTCAAAGCGGATCTTTTGAATTCTCAAACTCAAATTTTTCAATGGAGTTATGGATTTTCATGGAAACACAGATCAATCCTCACTACATCTACGAATCGACTGTAAAGGTAGGATAGTTCAACCTCAGTTTTGGAGATATTCAAATTAAGCCTTTAAAGAGAGTAGTTAATGACCCAGAAAGTTCTTTGAAAAATAGGTTTTTAGAATACTTAATTTTCCTTTGTTAACTCAACATTAATCAATACTATTTTAGAATATGACAGGTGGAGTTGGAACAGACCAATACTTTGCATTGTATTCAAGAATTGTGTATACTGGTAAGCTTCTTGAAGTTTTGAGTCCAAACAAAATCTTTGCAGACTTTCTAGAATTAACTAATTTAGGTTCTAAAAATCCCAGCTTATGATCCACTATCTCAACCAGAAGATACTGTTCAACGCGGATGATGGAAAGTATGTGATAAAAATATTATTCTTATCTTCAATGAAAATGTTTCAAATGAACAGAAAGGGCTCTTTGTGTCTAATACACCACACATTAATACATTTAAAATTCCTCTTAATGCTACTACTCAAATATAATTAGATACTCTCATCAAGATTATTAGCTAGCAGCTTTGATCTAACTACCTTATAGATGGCTGGAATAAATTTGGAGTTGGTGTATTGACTGGTAACCACAACATATACTCCTCAGATTACAAAGGAAGTGGATCGTCTAAAGTTATTATCTCATTGTCTATCTCAGACACAAGCAAAACCTACATTGGGTGCAACACTTGATCTTATGGGAGAGTTATTATATATAGTCTGAGATATATGTCTGATAGTACTTTAGGGACTATAAATAATCCTAATGCTCTCACAAATCGTAAGTTCTCTCGTATTTAAACGAAATGTATAGCTTATAATGGATTCTGAGGTGACGGCACTCAGCAATTAGAATACCTCGAAGAATGAGATGACGGAAATATAAACGATGATGATTCCTGTATCAATTGCATTGTAGGTACAGGATATCAATGAAGCGGACCTAACAATGTCACTTGTACAAAGGAATGAGGAGATGGTTATTGGGCAAATACTGAAGAGTGTGATGATGGAAATCTAGACAACGGGGATGGCTGCTCTGACGAGTGTAAACTAGAAGATTACTATGAATGTGAAGGGTTTACTTTACAAGGAGGAGGCCAAACCTGTAATACTATATGAGGAGATGGCATTCTTATTACTAAAGACTTAGATCAAGCTAATTATTGAGATGATGGTAACACAGTGTCAAATGATGGATGAAGTAGCTTTTGCTCCATTGAAGGAGGATGGTATTGTGATCATAATGGGACCAATTTTAAAAGCTCATGCTACACTACATGTGGAGATGGTTACCATGTCCCTCAAACAGAAGGTTGAGATGATGAAAACCTTAATCCTGGAGATGGCTGAGATGAAAATTGACAAATTGAAGATTACTATGAGTGTGACAGAATCTCCGAAAAGAGTGTTTGAACTCCTATATGAGGAGACAGCTATATATTTTCTGGATATGAAACCTGAGATGATGGAAACTCTGTGGATAATGATGGATGTAGCCAGACCTGACAACGAGAGCTAGGCTTTTCCTGTATTTTTACTACAAAGAGTATCTGAACTCCTATATGAGGAGATACTTATAAAGTTCTGAACTCAGAGGAATGAGAGGATGGGAATGTAATAGATAATGATGGTTGTAGTTCATCTTGAGAAATTGAATATGATTATTCTTGCACTGGATCGACTGCAATTGCTGGTGAAACTAATCTGGAAACTATAGAAATTTGCAGTCAGATCTGTGGGAATGGAAAAGTTGCTCATGATGCTAACCTCACAGAAATCTGAGATGATGGAAACCTAATCGATGGAGATGGTTGTGACAGTACCTGCAAAGTTGAATTTGGCTATGAATGTTTACTTATTAATGGAACTAGTCTTTGTGATCATAAATGAGGAGATGGAATAATATCTAGCACAGAAGGGTGAGATGATAAAAACTTGAATAAGTATGAAATAAAATACTATTCTATAGGGGAGATGGATGAGATTCTAGCTGACAGATAGAGAAAGACTATATTTGAATGAATACTACATTAAATGGTAATTTCTTGATTATATCTCTTGCAAAATAATCAATTATAGGTGACAGTGTTTGTAAGAAATGTCAAGTGGATTCATGCAAGAACTGAGATAATGACGATTATAACATATGTGATGTATGACTTCAAGGGTATGATAAGAAAAGTCCAAATGAATGAAAAGGATATTTTGAAATGAATTTATCATCCTCTCAAAAAGCAATGTCAAGTGGGGCCCAAGGAGTTTCTGGAGCTAGTGCAGGAGCTACTGCGTTAGTATCACTTTTAAACTTATCATCTTTATCAGCAGTTTGGTCAATTGTTAACCAATTACAACTATTTTTATTGCTTTTATTGACCAAAACTCCGTTTCCTGATCATGTGAAATCATTGCTTATTGGAAATAAGGTAAAGTAATTATTGACTTAAATCTACACATTGTATTTTAGATTTGCTAAAATCTTTGCATTTAACTGCTAGATCTTTTTAAATGCTTTACTTATACAACATTTAGATCTGAACAGATTTAAATTATGGATTCAACATCCTTCCAAAAATTCCAAGAATAAGTGGATGGGTATTTATTGAACAAGTAAATCCATATCTGAAAACTATTGGGATAGACTCGAGATCAGCCCTAAGCACAAACCTTTCTTTCGGAATTATGCTAATCTGATTGATTGGTTGATACCCTTTCGTTATTTGCTTGAAGAAATTTATAGACTTTGACAGTACAAAGAAATGAAGTTTTAACTATTTACTTCTGAAGTTTCATGATTTATTTAATTTTACAATTTACATCAGACTAATTCTTGGTAAGCACAGCCATTATATAGAATTGTTAATATTATAGGAGCTTATCAACTGTTATTGATCACAAGTTATTCTGATATACTGATGATGGACTTTTCAAACTCCAGTTCTTTAGCATCTTTTATATTTTCAATAATTATTATAGCGATCTTATTTTTAACGCTTGTTCTCTCATTTTATATTTTCTACACGACAAGGAAATTCTATGACTCGGATAAATTCAACAAGCTAAGAGAATTCTTGACAGGAAATAGAAATTCTATGTTCTCCCGAATGTATTCTTTTCTGAGTTTGACAAGAAGAACTCTGTTAATTATCTGGCTACTTACATTTAGCTGGCTGGATCCAATGTACTTGTCAATAGGAATGCTGTCAATTCAAGTGCCATACTTTTGTTGCCTTGTAGTTTGTAGACCTTTTGATCATCCAGAAAACAACATGATTGAGATTATAAATGAGACGATATATCTTGTTCTTATATCAATAATGATTCCACTACATCAGGAAGAGGATTGGTCATCAGTCTTTACAAATATTTTTATTGGCCTGATAATGTCAAACTCTCTCATCATCACATGTATCATGATAAGTAAGGTCAATTACTTAGATCTATAGCTGTTTTATGAATGTCAATATTTTCTAAATGAAAGAACTCCAAATCAAAAGAAAGAAAAATTCTCCCAAGAGAGGAAATAGAAAGTAGTGGTCCTCTTTAATTTTTAGAACCAAGAACAAAAGTTAAAACTACATATGGAATTGAGTCAGATTTATCAGGAGTTGTCATGTTCAATAGAGCAGTTAGTAAGAAAATCTTTTTTATCTTAATATTTTACTTCATGGAGTCTGACTATATTTCTAGAACAAAAGATCAATAAGACGAACAAGCTTAACGAAGAAACTAAAACCAATGAGTTTAATCGAGTTCAGTTTTAATTATCTGAAGAGAATCTTTAATCTCAATATTTATACTAAATCCTGGGGTTTTGGGGTTTTGGGGTTTTGGGGTTTTGGGG